GGGCTGCTTCTCCTGCATCTCCGACTGGCTGTCGCTGGCCACGTCCAGCGTGGGGTTGTCGTGGCAGCCGTTCTCCACGAAGCGCAGTTCCTCGCCGTGCGACTGCGGCGGAGGGAGGGGGCCGCTGGGTGGGCGCGCTGCCGCGCCTGCCCGCGCCTCCCGCCCAGAACCGCGGCAGGCTCGTCAAGCCCCACCCAGGGAATCCCCAGGGCACGCACCACAGTTGGCAAGTGCCGTTTTTGCTGTCCCACAGTTCAACTCCCTTATCAAAATAATTCTGATAATCCTTCGCACCTGACAGCCCATTGTCTCCCTGGCATCAACTGATCCTCCCAACAGCCCCCCGCCCCTTGTAAGGAGACTCCGCTTGTGAGTTAGGCAGGACCCTGCCCCTATTTCTGGGGAAGCCTCCAAGCTTCTGGGGTCTCTTCTTGACTCCCCAGGCGCTGTCAACCCAGGGCCTATCTCTGGTGAGACATCTAGATGGGTGGGCCCTGCTGTGCCTGCCCTGGAGAGGAGCTGGTGGTGTGGGGCCGAAGGCACCAGCTCCCCCTTACTCCCTACACCTCCAACACCTGTCAGAGCCAGCAACAGGGCCGGAGTCTGGCAAGTGGCTTCATCCTCAGGATCCCATCTGGTCCCCCCCACAGCTGTGTGTGCCCACCGAGTCTCAAATGCCTGCGCTTATGGGCACTGTCCTCTACAGCAGCACCCCAGCTCTGGCCCCCGACCGAGCCCAGTGGGTCCCCACACTCACCACATGCTTGAGCTTGGGCAGCCGGCGCTGCCAGCAGTTGTAGAGCAGGCCAAGCACAATGATGATGATGCAGATGGCACCAATGACCACCAGCACCACAAAGAGTGTCCCGTAGTCACTGCGCACCTGGCTGGCCCGTGCCTGGCAGCTGCTTGTTGTGGAGTAGTTCTGGATGCCAATCTGGGGGTGGGAGGGGCCAGGTTTCTGAGCTGAGGTCCTAGGGTACTGTGGGCTTCCCAAGGGTTGTGGAATTTGGGATGAGGGCAGCCTTTGAGAAGGTGCTGGCACAATCCTGGCTTCTAAAGTTCCCTTGAACCTGGATCTGTGCTCAGGTGGGGTTCTATCTACCCCATCCCTGTCTGTTTACTGCCCCACACCCACATTCCCAGCCTCCCTCACATCCCTACAGTAGCCTCTGTCCGGGACCCTGAGTCTGAACTTGTTATGGCCCTAGGCCCAAGAATGCCCCCCCAACCCCTCACACTGTGTTGCTAGGCACCAAGCAGCTGGATAGGGCGCCCTTACCAGTTAAAGAGAGAGACATGGACAACTATGAGCCCCCCTCCACTGCACACAGCCACTGAGTCAGGCCCATGAAGCACAGCTTTCACCTTGGTGGTGGGGGTGCGGTGTTCTGGTGTCATTGGCAATTGTAAGCCAGTCAGCTTCACATCACCAGTGCAGGCATACTGTAGCAGGCAGCCCATGGGGCACTCCTGGCCCCTGGCCTCCCAGCTTGCTTCCTTTTCTACTACAGTGCTCACTGATGGCATTTAGCTGCCCCGCACCTCTCCCACACTGCAGGTTGTCTTGGTTGGGCCTGCCTTCTCTGGCCAAGTTGCCATGCTACAGGTCCAGGCAGGTGCTCTCTCAGGTGATTCTGAGGTCAGCATCACAGGCAGAGAAACAAGGAGGGAGAGGTGTTTCCTCAGATGAGGAGGGTCAGCATGGCTCCTGATGTAGATAGAGCCTGGGCTGCATCAGGCCCACTTTCTAAGATCAGGTCTTCAGCTCCTCCATTGCTTCTGTGAATTACCTGTATATTTCCAGTACTTTTATCTTTGTTTTTCCAAGTCATCAAGGGTCTGGTTTCTTGCTAGATTTACCCCAATAATATATTTCCAAAGGTCCAGCATGCCTTTTGGTCAAGTCAGTGTGAATTAAGTACTCAGTAAGGCTAGAATACCCAGGGGCAAGGAGAAGAGGTAGGAAGGTCTGCATAAAAAGGTCAAGGCGGCCAGGGGCAGTGGCTCATGCCTCTAATCGCAGCACTTTGGGAGGCTGAGGTGAGAGGAATGCCTGAACACCATGGCGAGACCTCATCTCTACAATAAAGCAAAAACTCAACCGAGCATGGTGGCGCATGCCTGTGGTTCCAGCTACTTGGAAAGTTGTGGTGGAAGGATCACCTGAGCCCAGCAGGTGAAGGCTGCGGTGGCTGTGAGTTGCTACTGTACAGAGCGAGACTCCTACTCAAAAAAAAAAAAAAAAAAAAAAAGGTCGCGGCAAGCCTACACTTCCACTAGTGCCTCTGGTGTTCATGAATCTGTGCTCCAAAATCACACAGTCTTGGTCCAAAGCCTGGCTCCACTGCTTAACAGTTGTGCAGCCTCAGGCAGGTCACCTAACTACTCTAGGCTCAGTGGTCATCTGCAGTGGGAATGCCAATGGTACTCAACAGGGTGCGCCTCATGTAATCTTCAAAATCTCATGGGGTGGTGATGAGAAGTGAGAGAGTCCAGTGCAGGGTGTGGCACTTAGTAAGCACATGATATGCTCACTAACCTCCCCCACCTCACAACATGTAAGGGTAAGGTGGCAGCCCACAGTCAAACACACTCATCTTTGCCATCAAATACTGCAGAACCCTCAGGAATAAAGAGGACTGATAACAGGGCATTGGGTTCACAGTGAATGAAGGTAGTTTTGGTGGAGATGGTGGCTGTCCTCAAGCACCATGAGGAACGGAAGGTCCTCCCTCAAGCAAGCTGGTGTGAGGAGCAGGACTAGGGGACCCAGCCCCTCCCCATCCAAGCTTGTGCAGCAGTTCAGGAGGAGAGGCTGGCCAGCTGTCTCCTCAGCCCTGGTCTCCAGGATGGGCCAGGCAGCCAGCAGACTGCACTGGGTGGGGGCACCTCCCAAGACAGTAAGGCTGCCTCCCAGCCCCTGAGCACCCGCTCCCTACCACAGCGGGCCCCTGGCTGGGCAAGCACTGGCAGACGCACATCTGGGGATGCTTTCCTGGCAGCTCCCCCCGCACATCCATGTCTCTCAGGCCCTCTCTTGTGGAACTTATCATTCTCTCCCCTTCTGCCAGGCTCTGCATTGTGTTTCTCCTGCTGTCTGCTCAGAAGACCCCTACTTAAGTCTCATCCCCTCCCCACAACCCTTCCTTTCTGAGCCCTCTCCTGACTGCCACCCCCTTATCGCATCCCCCACCCCATTTCTTCCCCTGGCCATTGCCTGCACTGCATGGCTGGTAGTGTCCACATGCTGCCTTTCCCATGGAACTGTGTCTTAGGAAGGCCTGAAATGAGGATGTGACTCGCCCAGAGCATGCATCTGTCTTGCTCCTTCAGATTGCACATTGTGGGCACCCTCCTGTTCTCAGGGAAAACTGCACTTGTCCCGGGCTTGGAGGAGCAGAGACGGGAAGGTACACAGCAGCAGCTGATAGGTCCAGGTACCTGTGCTCTTACCTCCACTAGGCTCCTGCGGATGTCACCCAGCATGGAAAGGACATCTTGAGTGGGCACCACCCCTGAAAGAAAAAATACCATTATCAGCACAGCCATGGCTGAGGTGTCCCCTCCACGGGCTCCCAGCCCCACTCTTGGACAATGGGCCCCCAGCCTCCTCTGCCTCACCTCCCAGCTCTAATTGTACATGGATCCTCAGGGCACATGTGCTCCCCCTCTCTCCTAGACCCCCTTTCTACTGAACTGATTTATGGGAACACTGTGTGACAGGTGTAACACTACACAGCCACTTGCATAGCCCACATGCTGCCCTCTGAACACGCCCGCTTCTCAGCCGCCACACTGCCTGCAGTGTCCACTTGTCTCCTGCCTGTGTGGACAACACCTGGTCCGCCTGCCTCCTGCTCCTGATCTTCACACCCTCCTCCTCTTCCACAGAACCCAAGCTATCAATATGCCTTGAGCCCTCAGCTGGGGAGTTTAAACTTCTACATGGAGCTCCAAGTTCCAAAGCCCTTGTGCATGCACACTCCTCCCATGGCCCTCACTCACCTTGCTCACCCACCAGTGTCATGAGAAGGTGTTGCTCCTTCTCACTGGGCTTGCTCAGAGAGATGTGCCAGGCCCCGTGTTGGCTGCTGCCATGGCGGGGCAGCACCTCTTCTACCAGGGCCAGGAGCTGCGGCCCCCGGTGCTGCCGGAACACCTCCTATAAGGGCAGAAACAGCTCCCCATTCTCAGTGAAGGAGAGGGACTCTACTGAGCCCTCTGCCTCTAGGCCCAGCCTGCCACTTACCCGTGGCCCCTTGGCCCCTTGACCAAAGACTTGGAAAGGCCCTCCGACTGTTCCCGGAGAGGCAGCTCTGGTCAGCTCTGGGGATTCCCTGAAAGCTGCAAACTGGGCCACGGGGTGGGAATGTGGGAACACCAAAACACACACCTGTTTGCTCACTTTCCGGTCCAGGTGCCCCTTTCCCTGGCCTCCAGCCAGGAGGATGGCATGGGGCCTTCCCCAGAGACACTCGCAGTGGAGGCTAGGGGACAGACATATACAATGGCCAACAGGAGCTGGGCACGTAGAGGGGGCAGGACTACGGGAGAACTGTTCACTGTGCCTGGTGTTCAAGCGCATGGTGCTGGGGATGAACACAAAGGCACGAGGCAAGTGGTGACGCCAAAGGATGGTGCAGCAATAAAACCACCAAAGAGCAGGGAAGAGGCGGCTGGTAGCAGAATTGGGCTCATCTCCCTGTCACTGTGGCCCAAAGTCTCCAGTGGTGGTGGTGACCAGAAGAACTAACACAGGTGAACTGGAAACCCTGAAACTGGGACTGGGGCAGGAGAAGGGTGTGAGGAGACTTCTTTCCCATCCAGCACTCTCTTGCACTACTTAGGTTTTTAGACTATTTGTATTTGTAATTACATAATTTAAAACACAAGAGCCTGGCCCTAGACAGGGATTGCAGGCCAGGCTGGGGTTGCAGGCCAGGACCCTGCCTCTTGGCTCACAGCTCGCCATTTGTCCCCACCCAGCTCCATCTGGGAAGAGACCTCCTTTGGTCCTGTATCCCCTACCCCCTCCCACTCCTCTCCAGCAGCACTCTCCTTCCTGGACATGTAAAGTCACTAGTCGCCTGCTCCCAGCCTCCAAACCCCCAGCCAGACACATCTCTCCCTGCTGTTCAGCTCTTTCGTAGGTGCCCTGATATGCAACTGAGAGCCAGGGGAGGCCAGCCCTGTGGGATCTACTTTCTGCTAGAGCCCAAGCTAATGAGCTGTTCCCTGGTTGTCATGCCAACATAAAGGCCACCAGGATGACTGAAGTGCTGGGCCTCTGTTTTTTGGTACCATGGCAAGTGTCCTGCTCAGGTTCAAGACTTAGCACTCACTGGCCCAACAGCCAGCCAACTCAATTCTAAATGTGGGAGAAAATGTGTGCCTGGAGATAGCCAAACAGCCTCTAGGAGTGCCCTAGCTCCTATAATGGTTTTACCTTCTTCACTGATTGTGGGGTGGGGGAGGATGGGTGCACACCTGCCCCTGCCTGAGCAAGGATACAATGCACCATGACTCAGAAGTCCCACTGCTTACAAAACAAGCACCCTCCTGCCACACAAAGTGCCTTCTCCTGTGCTGTGGCCCTGTGCTCCACCATGTGTACCTGCTCACATTTTCCTGGGTAGAGATGTCTTTCTAGCTAAGCCCATAAACCCACAATGTCAGTCTTGGAGGGCCTGAAGAATATAGGTTTCAAACCATTTATTATGGAGATAGGAAAACTGAATGTCTATGGCAAAGGGAGAAACTCTGGCTTTGGAATCAAATAAATATAGTTCAAATTCTGGTTTTGCCATTTATCAGCTCTGTCCCTTTAGCAAAATACTGTACCTCTCTGAGCCTGAAAATCTGAGCAATGATCCTAACACTCTGGGCTTACTGTGAGGATTAAAATAAAAGTATTCATTCAATCACAGGTCCTGCGACACCTGGATATCCCAATAAAAAATTTAAAAAGTTCCTTAACTCATACCTGACATAATTCACCAACAATAATTCTAGGTGGATCACAGATCTAAAACCTTCAGAAACATAGAAGGATACCGTCCAATGGTGATGGATTGGAATCAGAAAGATTTAACTAATAGTTTTAACATATGCACAAGTACTATGTATATGTGTATCCATGTACATATGTATCTATATAGAGAGATAAATATAGATCTATATCTTTCAGTTCTCCTGTAAAAGGTCCTAAAAGCAATGACACCTTAGTAGCTGTGAGCACACATGGAGCTCAAGTCTTGATTTCTAAATACCTTTCCTCATTAAAAGGAGCCAGGGCTCCTTACAGAAATGGTAAATTGCAGGGCCAGGACAGGGAAAGTACAATACAGCCTGGAATACCTTGTCATAAGTATGTACATAATATACACTTTACAGCTCTGCAAACTCTGACAAAAAAAATTTGCCTCGTCACTCTGTGTCAGCTCTGCTTTCTGTTTCTAGATCTTTAATGATCCAGTCCTTTGCACTGAGGCTTTCTTTCAGGGTTTGCACTAAAGGACAGTCAACATTTTTCTTCTCCTTGTATTCTCTGTTGTGCTGGGCTAAGGATCAGACCCTTGCCTTTCCATAGCAGGATTTTCCTTTGCCTCCTAGAACTCAAAAATACCTCTTGATTTACTGTTTTATCTTTTGGCTTCCTCTCCTGAGTTTTCTTCCCAGACTTCTTTCCAGTTTCTTCTGTGTGTATTACCTATATGTATTTACCTTAGGTGACACAGGAGAAGTCAGTGAGTCTGTGTCACTTTTTTTAGATCTTGAGATCAGATTCCTGGAATGTGGTCTCTAGACACATTCCCTATCTTTTTCTGGAGATGTGGTCTCTAGACAGCCCATCATTTTTATGCACATTATTCCTTTTACTCTTCAAATATGTCAAGGTTATTAAACACAAAGAAAGGCCAAGGAACGATTCCAGATCAAAGGAGACTGAAGATACAAGACAACTAAATGCAGCTCATGATCCTAGATCCTATCCTGGATCAGAAGGAAATAAAGCTCTAAAGGACGTTATTGGAACCACCAGTGAAATCTAAGGAAGATAATTAGATAATAGTTTTGTGCCAGTTTTAATTTCTCAAATTTTGATAATATTACTGTGGTTATTTAAAAGAATATTCTTGTTCTGAGGATATACAAACTGAAGTATTAGGGGCAGGGACAAAACGGAATAATGCCTTCAATTTTTTCTCAAATAGTTTGAAACTTTCTAACCAGTGGTGAATCTTGCTGAAGGGTATATGGAAATTCTTTGTGCTTGTCTTCTTGCAAATTTGAAACTATATCAAAATAAAAAGTTACAAAAAAGAATTTAAGAAAACTAAAAACAATTTCATATAAATAAAGTTGAGATATTCTTACAGAAAGAGTTACTAAGGTATATTTCAGGAAGGAAGAAGTTAAAATCAAAAGGAAGAAGTGAGAATAAGAGAAGCCATCTGAGCAAAGAAACTAATAAGTATGTTGATAAAGCAGAATAACCTCTGACTATTAATAATATAACGATCAATATCACTAATCATCAGGGAAATACATATCAAAACCACAATGAGATATTACCTCACATCTGCCAGGATGACCATTTTTTAAAAAAAAACAGAAAATAACAGCTGTTGGTGAGGAAGTGGGAAAATCAGAACCCTAGTGCTATGCTGTTGAAAATGTAAAATGGCATAGCTGTAGTGGAAAACAGTAATAGAGGTTCCTCAAAAAAATTAAAAATAGAGTTACCATATGATCCAGCAATCCTACTTCTGGGTATATAGCCAAAAGCATTGAAAACAGGGTCTTGAAGAGATACTTGCATGCCCATGTTTGCAGCAGCATTATTCACAGTAGCCAAAAGATGGAAGCAACCCAAATGTTCATCAACAGATGCATGAATAAGCAAAATATGGCATATCCATACAATGGAATATTTTTCAGCCCTAAAAAAGAGAAAATTCTGGCACGTGCTACAACACAGATGAACCTTGAGGACGTTATGCTAAGTAAAATAAGCCAGATACAGAAAGACATACATATGATTCCATTTAAATGAAGTACCTACAGTAGTCAAATTCATAGCAATTGAAAGTAGAATGGTGGTTGTCAAGGGCTGGGGGGAGGGGGAACAAGAAGTGGTTGTTTAATGGGGACAGAGTTTCAGTTTTGAGGATGAAAATGTTCTAGGGCTCTGTTCCACAACCATGTGAATATACTTAACACTAGTGAATTTACACTTACAAATGGTTAAGCGGTAAATTGTATGTTTTTTACTACAATAAAAAAAATCTAATATAAAAAGGAATAATGACTAATTGAGTGGATATCACATATTAAATGAGAATAACATAGAAAACAGGAAAAATATAATAAAAGCCTTTTATTTTCTATGTATTGATTGGCAAAGATTGATAGTAACTTCAGATCTTATTGTTCAAGTAAGCATACCAAAAAAGTAAGGACCCAAGTTAATATTGTGGTCTCTAAGTACCATTTCCAAATAAAAGAAATGAAGGATCCTTGGAGAAACAACGATTCCATGTCTAGGGGAGGAAAGTGAGCCTGGAGTATCCTAACAAATTGGTCAAAAGAACTCAGAGGACAACTCAAAGAGGCTTTCACTGGCCAAAGATGAGGTATTTGAGTGTCAAGAAGAATAATAACTTCAATGGATTAAAACACATAAATTATGTTAAAATTCATCAGTTTATAAGGATGCTGGGGGAAGCAATCTCATTGGTCACTTTTGGATTTAACACTGTCTGTCCTTTCACTCTCTCGCAAAAACCACTAAGCAAGAGTAAAGAGTTTAAGGTCTAAAACCACAAAGCCAAAGCAAATCAAAAGCAGAGACAAGAACAACAAAACTGGTCACTGGAAGCAGATGGGTGAGTTAGAATTTCCTGATTTAGGAAACTCTAACCGAGAAGTAATCAGACTTGTACTAATTTATGCTCCTAAAACGCCCTGGAATAAGCATTACTGGTTACCTTTGGAAGAAGAGATAAAAATGCTACTAAAAATAGGAACTGGTTGAAAATCTGCTTGAGAAAGTCTGCAGCTGCAGTTCTCTGCCCAACACTGGATAACTGACAAATATCTCTTTTCCCTGGCAGAAGACCAGAAGTTTATTCTTTAAAGAGAGTAAAACAGAGGGTCTCTGACCTAGAGGACATCATGCACAATTGTGTGTATGTGCGTGTGGTGGGGTTTGTACTGCAAGCAGGGTGAGAAAATGAATATTGATATTCATGCATACATATTTAAAATACTGAGACACCCAGCCCTCTTCCTCTACTGTGGCTCCCAGAACACTAACAAGCAGCTCTTTATACTTCCAGTAGGACAGAAGTTCCCTTTCAAAGACTCTAATAATCCCAGGAGGAAGGACCTAATGATGCTGACATCAGAAATTTCCAAATGATATAGCCCAGCCAGACCACTCTTTTGAGACCACCACCATGCTCACAGCTTCTCGTCAGCTTTTTGATAGCCTTCCTTAAAGAGCTAAGAACAAACACTACCAGACATGTGAGACAGCATGTATACAAAAAGACTGAGACCAAAGCAAACAAATGGGGGGAAAGCAGCCTGAACAGGGAGAAAACAACTTTTTATAAAAGATTTCAGTGTCACCAGAGGGGTAAGATATTGCACACATGAACAAAATTATTCCTTTAAATTAAAGAGGGAGGTGAGTATGAAAGAACCCTCAGAAATGTTTAATATTACTTTTTTTTTTACATTGGCGGGTGCTAGTTTGTCTCCTGGGTTAAGCTGACTCCCTCTTACTTAGGGACTAAGTCTCCCGCCACCCATCCCATGCACTGCCCATCTCCTGGAGCCCTTCCTCTGCACCCAATCTGCCTGCTGCCTCCAGCCTTTCCCTGTGATCCCGAGCCTCGCTCGACACTCACACAGTCTACGTTCTCTGTCATGTTCAGAATGATATAGTTTTTCCCAGCCAGATTGCTCCAGTCCTTGCAGATCACCTGTGTAATGAAACAAAAAGAGAGCGACAGTTATGAAGTAATAACAAGAGACATCAGAGAAAGAGCACAGAGCAGAAGCCTTCTGAGAAGCTAGAAGATAAAGGCTGGTATAGATGTGCTACAGAAAGGTAGCAGCTGACCTCTGTTAGGTGACATGCTCAAGTCTACAAACCAAAATGTCTTCAGGGACCAAGCAGGGAAGGTGTAAAGTGAGCGAAGGCAACCAGCCATGATGCCCAGGTAGTGGGGAACTATGTCAAAGGGGCCAGGCTGCAGAGGGGTTGCCTCTACGTATGCTTTCTATGACAAGTTTGTTAATGTTCCAGGGTCAAACACACAGGCTGGCAACCTGGTGCCCCTTTCCTTTCCTTGTGGCATCCATAGGTATGAACACTGACTTGTGCATGTGCTCATGGGTGTTGGCAGTTGATGAGTGGGTAGAGATGAGGTGGGCACAGCATAGGTCAGCCACCAACTCTCAGCTGCCGGTATAAGGAGTACAGAAGGCTAAGGGTGGCAGAAGTAGCATCTGAACAAATGAAAACCAGGCCAGGCCACCAAGCTTCTCCAAAGGTCTTTGCACATAGGTGTGGTGAGAACACCCATTGCTGGCCCTGGGTGTTGCATAGCCACAAGTTCCTATGGGGATCTACAAGGCTCCCATCCTCAGCCTGGCAGATCCCAACCTCACGCTGCACCAGCCCTGGGTATGGCAGGGCTCTATGGAGAAAGGCACAGCCTGATGCACATGCACATGACTTTACCTGAGTAGAATCCCAAGGTATTCTGGATTGAGCTTCAGCTGCCTGCTCTTCCTGGGGCTGCTGGACGAGATCTTCTCGCCCCAAGGTAGCAGACGAAGGTGTCAGGTCTATGTCTCGGGGTGCCAGTGGGAAAGACGCTGAGGTTCTAGAGTCAAGGTGGCTTTCATCCGGTGCCTTGGCCCCACTGGGAGCTTCAGTTTGAGGGAGTGAAGGCAAGGATGGCGCCTCCCCTTGCTTGCCAGCCAAACCAGCGGCCCCCAAGGTGGCCTCCTCATTTGCCTCCTGAGGAACCTCAAACTCAGTCCCAAGTCCCACAGCCGGCAGTACTGCAACCCCCGCCGCCTCCTGGCTGGCAAGGTCCTGATTCCCTAGGGTCACTACACTTGGGGTGACTGAGGGCGGCGACAAGCTGGGCCCCACGCTGCTCTCTCCTTCCACACCTGAGGAGGCCTGGTCCCCAGAATCTTCATGCCTGTGTTTGGTGGTCCCTGGAGTCTGGCTGCTGCTCACAGGAGAAAAATCACGGACCTGAGTCTTGGCTTCTTCTTGGGATCCATTTACAGGGAGAAGCTCCTCTTCTTCTTCCTCTTCTTCTTCTTTGTCTGCCTCTTCCTGCTCCCTCTCCTCCTCTTCCTCTTCTTCTTCTTCCTCTTCTTCCTCTTCTGGAGGCATATGCCAAGGAGGCTCAACCAGATTCATCTTGGGCAAGGGAGAGGGGAGGTTTGGGAGCTCTTGGGCCTGGCTAGTGTCTTCAATGGAACCTGCCTTCTCAGTTAAGTCTGGAAAAACATAGTCTAAGGACAGAAATGAAAAGTTCATTCACTCATTTCATCATTCATTGATTTACTCAGTATTTACTGAGCAGATGGCATTGAGGAACCATAAACACTCACAGGGACAGAGAGGCATCAGACCTTTGTTTATGCTGGAAAAGAGTGGGAAATAAGGCTGGGGCAGACTGTGGAGAAACACTGGGGCTAAGCTATTCATTGTTTACTTTTTTTTTTTTTTGAGTTGGAGTCTCACTCTGTCGCCCAGACTGGAGTGCAGTGGCTGCTCCCGGCCACCGCAGCCTCGACCTGCTGGGCTCCGGCGATCTTCCACCTCAGCCTTCCGAGTAGCTGGAATTACAGGCGCGCGCTACCACGCCCGGCTAATTTTTTGATTTTATTGTAGAGATGAGGTCTCGCCTGCCCATGTGGGTCTCGAACCTGCGGGCTCAGGCAATCCACTCACCTCAGCCTCCCAAAGGTGCGGGACTACAGGCTGAGCCACCGAGCCCAGCCTCATTGTTTACTTTTGAATAAGTTTTGTACATTATACTTCTCAAAAATAGCCATTAACACTTTGATGTATATATTCTCCATTGTTTTTATAATATGTTTGCCTTTCCTCACTGGGTATTTTACCAAGAAGACCCACACAACAACCCATTAGGAAAGGTTTCCTTTACCCCTTTTCTAATGAGTTGCTATAAGAGTCTTCTTGGTAAAATCCCCAAGTGAGGTCCAAAAACCCTCTTATTACAGGAAGAGGTGAGATCCACAGATTATGACTATTGCTCCTAAACTGCTTTTTTCCTGTGATTTAGGTCCTGATGGGAAATGAAAAAGATGTGAGGAGAGCCAGAGAGAGGCCAGATGATGAGCCCAGAGGCTTCTAGGACCTTCCAGGACTGACAGGGTCACTGTTGGCAGTGGGAGAGGGGATTTTTATTCTCCCTGCAATTCTCAGAAATAACATTTTGAAGTAGAGAAATTAAGAGAGCTCCTGGAGATCAGGCTGCTTTCTGACTTTTCAGTGAAGCCGAGGCTTGTTCAAAATAACTACATATGAAAATTATAGAATAGGTTTTTTTTGAAATTCATTTAAAAAAATTAGAAGTTATATCTAGGAAGCAACTTTTTTTTAAAAGCAGGATTTATTGAGAAGACAGAAAAGTTCCCACAGTGGGAGGGGGCCCAAGGGGGTTGCCCCAGGAAGCCACTTTCATCAGCTGCCATTTTGTTCCAAAATAATAAATATCACAATTAGTTTTTAAATACTCTTTATAAATGAGAGCAGTGAGAATAGTTTAACATAGCAAACTGAGTCTGTTCATTTACCTCCATCCCCTCCAAAATTTCTATCAAATGACAGAAAAAAATTTTTACTGTCAAAATGAAAATTTGAGTTAAATTTCTGAGAACATGGAAAGCAGAGGAGATCATAGGAACAATCAAAACAAACACAACGAAAGACAGCAGTGGGGGAGGCAAACTTTCTTACCAGCAAAGTTAGGAGGCGGTACAACTGTGGAATTAGCAAGGACATGGAATACAGAAAATTTAGAAAACAGAAGGTAATCTTAAAGATTCTAATTAGTATCCTCAGAAAGATTAAAAAATATTGCATCCCTAAAATAACAAAGAGGCCTCTAAAGAAAATCAGGTAAGCTTTAGAAAAGAAAAATTCTTGGAAACCAAGAACTTTAAAAAATATTAAAATTCAATACATCAAACATTTGCATTTTCAATAGCTAGAAGAAAAAGTCAAGGAAAAGCCTCTAGAACAAAAGCAAAAAGACAAGAGAGTGAAGTTAGAAGATATAAACAGCCAATGTAGGATGTCTAATATCTAGGTAACCTGATGTCCATAAAGATAGAACCAATAAAATGGAGACTAATGGAAATAAATACATTTTCCAGACTTGACAACATAAAGCTTTTTATTGAAATGGTATGTCATCAGGGTGAATGATAAAAGACTCACACCTAACCTCAGTCTCATAACATTTTAGAATTCTAAGGAGCAAGAAAAGTTCCTAAAAGCTCTCAAAAAAAAGAGCAGGTTGCCTATTTTTAAAAAAGATTATCAAATTATCATCAAACTTTTAGTTTAATAATGCTATAATACAAGAAGAAATTGAAAAATGCATTCAGAATCCTGAAGGACATTTTGAACCTAGACTTTTATCCCCAACTAAACTATTATTAAAGTGTGATTGCAAAATAAAGGCATTTTCATGTATGCAAGGACTTAAACGTTCATTATCTACAAATTCAAGAAAAATATTCAAGAAATCCAAAAAACAAGACATAAAAAAATCAAGAAATATGAATGGAATGTCATGAAACTAAATCTCAGGCTGGAAGCTGTGTAGTAGATCTAGGCAGCAATTGTTTCAAATTTGAAGAGGGAGAGAGAGATGTGAGGAGAATTATTGCAAAAGGAAAACTTGATTCCCTATAGTAAAAAGTATGATATAGAAGCTAAACAACCTTAGTGATAATTAAAAGCGCACTCTAATATTTAAATAAATAATTAGAATATTCTACCCACCCACTTTTGTTAATTATACTCTTTGAATAGCAGACTTAGTAACTTCAGATCACATATTCCCCTATCCTCTCTGGACCCCACCCCCAACATACTCTGGAGTGAAGCTTACCTACTTTGTATACAAAGCAGCCAGTTGTGATATTCAGGGAAGAGGCCTACTGGTGGAACAGTGACTATACAACTGCTGAGGAAACCCACACCATCCTTTAATACTGACCAATCTAGTATTACCTTTGTTTTTATTTGTTTGTTTGTTTGTTTTTAAGAGATCTCACTATGTTTCCCAGAATGATCTCAAACTCCTGGGCTCAAGGGATCTTCTGATCTCAGTCTTCTGAGTAGTTAGAACTACAGGCACATGCCACCAAGCTCTGCTAAATCTAGTATTGCTTTTACAAATATGAGGGAACAATCAAGATTCACAAGATTCACCTTCATGAAGAAGCACAAGGGTGAGATAGCAAAGAAACTGATCTCTGAGAAAAGAATTAATCTAGCAAACAAAAGAGAATTTAGAAACATTTATTAATATCTCCAGAAAGATTAAGAGAAAATTACATCCTTAAAACAAGTGTACAGAAGAATAAAAATATTTTACATCAATATAAGTAAGAACTTATAATAGCCACGTCTATTCAAAATTAAAATGCAATGCATAGAAAACATAATTGAGGCCAGGTGTGGTGGCTTACACCTGTAATCCCAGCACTTTGGGAGGTGTAAGCAAGAGAATTTCCTGAGCCTGGGGGTTCAAGACCAGCCTGGGAAATTTGGCAAGACCTCGTCTCTACAATAGATAAAAAAAATAGCATATGCTTATAGTCCTAACTATTCGGGAAGCTGACGTAAAAGGATTGCCTGAGCCCAGCAGGTTGAGGCTGCAGTGGCTGTGAGCATGCCACTGCCCTCCAGCCTGGGCAACAGAGTGAGATTCTGACTCAAAATAAAAAATAAATTGAAATGGGCTGAATGAACACTTGGCAGGAATACTATGTAATTTAATAATTAAGAGTCAAATGTGTACCTTAGGAAATACAACATATGAAATCCCTTACAATCAGGAAATTTCATTCTGTTTCATCATCAGAAGATTAATCTGACAGCAATGTGCAAGAATGAAATGAAGGTGCAGACGAATGAAAGCAGAGGAGCGTTAGGGAGCGTGTTGCAGTGACTTAGGAGAGATGCATGAAGGTGATGACACTGGAAATGATTAGAAAAGAACAGATTCAAGAAATGACTCTGGAGAAGTAATCAAATACATGAGTTGGCTGGCTAACAAGAAGAAGTTAGCACTCTGGCTGACTGAGAGTAGCCATGTCATGAGCAGAGATGGTGAGGTCTAGAGGAAAAGCACAGGAAACCTTCAAGAAGTGCTTGAAACAGCCAACAAAAGCACAGGAAACCTTCAAGAAGTGCTTGAAACAGTCAACAGGCTGTGGCAAGAATATAGTGGATGGTAACACACTCACTGGCAGAATCCTAGTGGGTGAAGGAGTTTGCAAGAGGGCAAGTGATCCAAAACAATCCCTCTCCTCAATTTGATGCTGACTTTTCTAAAGTTGGGGTTGCTTCATCTGGAGAGAGTGCCTGACTTTACCCAGAAGAACTCTCTCAACTGTTTACATTCTCCTTTGAGACATAATATCTGTCATGCTGTGGGCAACGTGATCCAAGAGTCAGGTGATTTAGCCATTATAATTTACCTGTGCAAGCAATAGTAAGGCCCTGAACTTCTCTGTGCTTCAGTTTTCCTAATGTCAAATGAAGATGCTGATATATATGATTTCTAAGGTTCTTTCTAGCGCTGATATTTTAAGCTTTGGAGATAGTTTTGATAAATGTGTTGTATACACCAATGGCATTAAAAACAACTCTACTGTCCTAAATGAGAATAAAATAGAATTCACTAGACTATAAACTCTTGATGCCAAGCAAAGTTACTTTCTTTATGTATTCCCAGCATCTAACACAGTGCCTGGCCCAGAATAGAAAAGAGAGAAATACGTGTTTGTTGAACTCTTGACTCCTACCTTCTCCCTCCTAAACCCAGGGCCTGTCCCTTTAGGGAAAGGAAATACCCTCCAGTCACGATGTAGACTCCTCCTTTATTAGCTCCTTTTCTGTCTCCCTTAATGTGAACCCTTCCAAAGAGTAAGCCTTTGACTCATCATTTCTATACATCTTTCTCAGTAAGTTCACTTATTCCACAGGCTGTATCTATTGTCTGTATTCTAAAGGCGCCCAAGTTTACATTTCCTACAAAGCTTTCCACTTTTTTCCAGTAACTTCACAAATCACTAAATGACAGCTGCTCGTTGACACCTGGAATCAGCAGTTCTTTCCTAATTCTTTACTACCTCTCAAGACCGAAAAGTACTCCTTTTCTTTTTACTGTTTGGTCCCAGTTCTACTGCTTATCAACCGTACAGCCTTGGACAAGTTACTTGACCTCCTGTGTCTCCCTTTCCTG